GGGGCAAGGGGCGCAGGCGGCAGGGGGAAGTACCCCGAAGGCGCGGGGGGCGGCGGCGGCTGGCGCGACGCTGGTGGGGCGGCCGGTGGTGGGGCGCCACGGGAAGTGTCGGCGGCGAGGGCGTGATGCTGCATGCGCTTCTTGACCCCCTTCATCCGGCGCTCCTCCAACCGCAAGTACGCCACAAACTTGGGGAAGGAGGGCTCCGGCATCAAGGTGAGGTTGGAGGCGTCGTCGTCGAAGTCCTCGTTGAGGCCGGCGGTGAGCGTGCTGAGGAGGAGGTCGTCATCAACCTTGGCGCCAAAGTCGCGGAGCTCATCCGCCAACGTCTTCAGGCGGCAGCAGTAGTCATCTATGGACTGTTCATCCCGGTGACAGTCAAAATAGTCCCGCTGCAAAAAACGCGGCGCTGAAGCTTGTTGTCGGTGAAGAGGCTGTTCTGCTTGACCCACAAGGCGCAGGCGTCGTCGCCGGTGCTCACAACTGTGTGGAACAGGTCCTTGGAGATGGTGGTGAAGAACCACCGGATGATGGTGGCGTCGATCGCGGTCCACTCAGCGCCATCCACCATGGCGCGGGAGTCAACGGTGCCATCCACATGATCCACGAGGTTGTTCTCGCGGAAGAGCAGCGTGAAGTACGTCTTCCACGCGAAGTACGTGGAGTTGGAGGCGTCGAGGACGACGGGAACGCGTGCATGGACGTTGATGTCGCGGATTTTCGCAGGGTCGACGGCGAAGGGGTTGGAGTAGGTGGAGGCGTTGGACGATGTGGCGGTGAGGAGGTGGTGTAGGGGGCGGCGCGGCAGGAGGGCGGCGCGGCAGGAGGGCGCGCGCGGCGGGGTGGAGAGGACGGCGCGGCAGGAGGGCGGCGCGGCGGGGAGGTGGGTAGCGGTGGCGGTGTGGGGCGGCGCCGAAGGCAGCGAAAGATTGCGGCGGCGGCGGCTAGGGTTAGCGGAAGTGGGGAGATCGACTTGCGATAGATACCATATAGAGAATGATTTGGTGCATCGATAATTGATTGATCGTGCACTAGGCACATATATATAGGTACAAGGGGTGCGACCGGTGTCTTGTCTCCCAAGATACAAGTAAATACAAAGGGAGAGAGACACTACAGGTGCGGCATACAAAACCCAGACCTACGTACATGTACACATGTTCAACATGTAGCGTGCTCCACTCTTGTTGATGCTTATGCTTGTACGACATAAGCACGCAAGAGTTTACTCAGGCCCTTGTCGTGTCCCAGAGCCAACTTGCGCCATCTTCAGGGCTTCTACGATATGTGACCTTGGCTCGCAGTGCCAATTGCAAAATCTGGACCGACCATTGGACCAATGGTAGATCCGCGGCCGAGATCACCCCTCTCATCTCCCGGCTTGTCTCTCGACGTCATCACAAGACACATGTCGTCGAAGATGGCCTTCACCTATGTTCCTGGGTGCAGGATATCCACGGGGCGCTCGAACCCCCGTTGGAATCTTACGTGGAGGCCATGGGCCCCGCTTCACGTCAAATTCTTCCTCTGGCTGTGCATGCAGGACCGATGTTGGGTGGAGGAACGCTTGGCCCGCCACGGCCTACCCCATGAGGCGACATGCGCCTTCTCGATTAAGAACCCAAAATGATGCAACATCTTCTTGCAGGATGCTCATTCTCCAGGCAGGTATAGCTTTAGATTCTTGGTTGGGTGAGGGCAACATATGACTTACCGATCTCTGGCACTCCCTTCCAGACAAGACTGCCTGGTGTCATGTGACCATGCTCTGGCCTCAACTCGCAAGGGCATGTCATCTCTCATAATCCTCGCTGCATGGTGGCTACGGAAGCATGGTAATGGACGCACCTTCGATGACAACCGACCATCAATCACCCACATCTTTCTTCGGCACTATCAAAGATGAGGCGCGCCTATGGGCTAAGGCAGGCGCAAACGAGCTTAGAAACATCCTTCCCGGCACTTAGTTTGTGGTTGTATGGGGGGGGGGGGCGAGCAACCCCTTGCCTTCTCTTCTGCTCCTACGCTCGCTACCATGCCTGCTCGCACACTGATTGTAACCCCGATGCTACAACTCTCCTTCTGTCAATGAAAAGACACGCAACCTTTGCGTATAAGTGAAGAAAAAAAATGCAATCATATTGCATTCATTCAACAAGTCCACAGTCGAGTGAGGAAAATATTCAAGCAAGTCAAGGCTCTTCTTAGCCGAGGAGAGACCAAGTCCTGGTTCACTTTCACTCACTGTCACTCTCCCACTCTCTGCCAAACCAAAAGCTATCTCATTTCGCATGTTACTCTGCTCTGCTCTTTGGCTCCTTCCTCCTCGCTGCTGGCCGCTCTCCAAAACCACGGCCCCCATCGCCCTCCTCCTCCTCCTCCTCCCGCAATCATCCATAGCTTCGCAGCACCATCTTCATCCTCCCTAGCACGCGATGGGCCTCTTCGGCAGTAGCAGCGGCATGGGTAAGGGCAAGGGCACCCCCGGCGCCTCGTCCTCCCGTGCTCCTCCTCCCCCTCCTCCTCCGGCGCCGGCGCGTTTTCGCCTAGGTCGCCGGCGCCTGCACATCCCGGTGCACCAAGCGCGGTGGTGCTGGGAGTAAATGCAGCCGCTTCCCTACCCCGATGTGAAGCTACCGCACCACTGGCACCTGGATCCGCACCGGATCCCGGTGCCAGCGGTTCCGCAGACCCAGCGGGCGCACGACGAGGAGGTGCGCAGAGGCTGCGTGCAGCTCACGTCGGAGCAGCGGCGGATGCCGGAGTACGCCGCCGACTCTCCCAACTGGGAGGCTTGGTTTGCCCTCGAACACGAGGAGCAATGGCGTTCAGGCGTCGACGCCATCCCGCCGCCGTTTCCACCGCTGCCCACGCGGGTAGAGCCGGAGGAAATGGAGGCGGAGGCAGAGTACCAAGCCACCCTCGAGGAGGCCCTGCAGCACGCTCTGGAGGCTAGCCGTCTTGAGGAGGACGCACACTGGGATGGGCTGGAGCAAGCTCTTGCCCTGTGGGCGGAGGGGGACTTTGTCCACACCCGGCTCTTCGTCCTGCCTCCGCCCGTCGAGCCCAAGCCGGAGCCGACGCGGACAAGCTCCCCGCCTCCACCCACTTGGTCGGAGGAGGCCTACACTTGGACGGACGAATACCGCGAGTGTGTGAGCGCGCCTCCTGTCCACTTCGCCGCGACGCCGGCGCAGGAGGCGGCCCACCTTGAGCGTTGAAAGGCGCACTGGCTCCGCCAGGAGCAGGCCGACGGCGAGCGGCAGATGCGCTACGAGGCGATGCTGCAACGCGACGCGGAGGCGCTCCGGCTTTAGGAGGAGGAGAAAAAGCAAGTCAAGGCTGTTGGTAGTAGAGGAGAGACGATGGCTCTCAAGACCAAGTCCTGGTTCACTTTCACTTTCACCCACTGTCACTCTCCTACTCACTGTATCACTCTCTGCCAAACCATCCAAAAGCAATCTCATTTCGCATGTTACTCTGCTCTGCTATTTGGCTCCTTCCTCCCCGCTGCTGGCCGCTATCCAAAACCACGGCACCCATCGCCCTCCTCCTCCTCCTCCTGCAATCACCCGCAGCTTCGCAGCACCTTCTTCCTCCTCCCTCAGACACACACACCACCATCCTCTGCCGTTTCTTCCATTGGATGTGAATGGAAGGTCGGAGGACACTGGAATGTAGGGCCGGGTAAAGAAAAGGAGCAAGAAACGGCAGCAGCCGCCTGAAATCTCTCCCTCCGCCTTTACTCGCCGGGAGCCCCGGGCCTGATCTGATCCGATCTGATTCGGAGTGATTTCCGGGCGCCTCGTTTTCTAGCCGCCCGCTCCCCCCGGAGGCCAGAGCCGTGAGCTCCGCCGACGGGGAGAAAAGAAATGAAGAGCCTGCAGTGCTTCAAGCAGGGCGGCGGGGATGGCGCGGGGAGGCGGCTGGAGCGGCGGCTGTCGCTGGGGGACTACAAGAAGGCGGTGTCCTGGTCCAAGTACCTGGTGGCGCCGCCGGGGGCCAAGATCCGGGGCGGCGGCGAGGAGCTCTGGAGCGCCGACCTCTCCAAGCTCCAGATCCGCGCGCGCTTCGCCTCCGGCCGCCACAGCCGCGTCTACTCCGGCCGCTACAACGGCCGCGAGGTCGCCATCAAGATGGTCAGCCAGCCCGAGGAGGACGCCGCGCTCGCCGCCGAGCTCGAGCGCCAGTTCGCCTCCGAGGTCGCGCTCCTCCTCCGCCTCCGCCACCACAACATCCTCTCCGTACGCTCTCTACTCCCAACCCATTTTTTACCTTCTCTTTCAGCCATTGTTTTCACCACGGATTAGTTAGATTAGATTAGATTAGATATATATGAATCTGAATTGAGTAGTAAATTGGTTGTGTTGTTGGTGCCCATGCCTGAGGATTTGCCATCCCAACCGATCTTCACATTAAAGGTGCAAACTTTACGCTTTCGTCGGTTGGATCGACAAGGGGAAATAATTGTTCATGCCTCTTTACACTATGTATGCATGTATAACCTGAACAAGAGGGAAAGAACATGGCAGACAAGCTTCTTTCCCCTATCAATTTTATTGTTCTTTTTTGAGGAAAAAAAACAGTGGTCCTTCCTCGGCGATTTCCGTTAAAGAAACCGCGGGCCACAAAGCATCTACACTTATAAATTGTGAATTTCAGGTAGTAGTTAATGTTTGTGATGGTGAAATCCCTTGACACTTATGGATCTGCTGGAACAAATCTTTAGTAAGGCATGATTGTTTGTTTCCTCCATAGTAGTTCACTGTCTCCATACTGATTGCTGTCCATTCGTAAACCATGACTTTTAGTTGGCAATAGCACTTTGTACTTTTGCCTAAATTATGTTAGTAGAGCCCCTGTTTGTACAGTCTGGACGACTAAGTGCACCAAAGCAACCTTGCAAATATTTTTATTCTCTCTGTGGTTTTGGATGGCGGTAAAACGGAATATTTCGGACAAGAGTGTCGCAGAAGGCTTGACGAGTTCACGACACCTACAGCTCTGTACACGATAAGCCGATAACGTTAGATACATGGATTTTCTAATTAAAGTGGGTGGTGGACCATGTAGGGCGCGCCCACTCTTAAGTCTTAACTGCTTTCAGATGCAGAGAAAAGCGCATCTTATCGTTTAAGTGTTTAATAACGAGAATCGACTCGGAGAGTGATAGATAGATAGATAGTTCATGTGCAGATAAATATCAATCCCGCTTTTCCCTTTGCTAAGTGTGGCCCTGTCTCACTCGGCCCCACAAGTCACATGGAGAAAAGGTTTAGTTGGCTGCATCAAATGGATTATTAAGCTAGAAAGTTCAAACGGTATTATGGTTGGTACTACTTAAGTTCATACTGTTCTCTGTATCTGCTTTTAGGCACTGCCAACCTCCGAATATTCTCCATATCTCATACTGTGCTTTTCTATGAAGCAAAGTTTACATGCTGGGTTGTGAACATATGTCAGTAATAAGGTTGAAACAATTTTTCTTATGATCCATGTTGTATTTGAAATGATTGGAATACTTAGTTACTTTGGTGTATCAACCCTTCTTGTTAAGTCTCTGTTTGGAATGGAATATAATGGTAATCTTCTGATTTTGCAGTTCGTTGCAGCATGCAAGAAACCACCAGTGTTCTGTATCATCACTGAGTACATGGCAGGGGGTTCCCTTAGGAAGTATCTACACCAGCAAGAGCCTCATTCAGTCCCCATCGAACTAGTTCTGAAACTAGCTCTAGACATTGCCCGTGGGATGAGCTACCTGCACTCACAGGGGATACTCCATAGGGACCTGAAGTCAGAGAACGTGCTTCTCGGGGAAGATATGTCCGTCAAAGTGGCGGATTTCGGGATCTCATGTTTGGAGTCGCAGTGCGGTAGCGGCAAGGGGTTTACGGGGACCTATCGGTGGATGGCTCCTGAAATGATCAAGGAGAAAAACCATACTAGAAAAGTCGATGTGTACAGCTTTGGGATCGTCTTGTGGGAGATTTTAACTGCTTTGGTTCCATTCAGCGAGATGACACCTGAGCAGGCTGCTATAGCTGTCGCCCTCAAGGTATGTTTGTTGATGGACCACTTGTTTTATGTGTGGATGCTACTTTCTCGCTCCCAGATTCTGGAGACTAATTTTGATTCGTGGCATACCATGGTAGAATTGCTTGTCCGTCATCCGACAGATATCTTGTTTTATGTGCTTGATAAGTATACATAGCATGTTCGTCAGCTCAGTTTCGAGAATTGAAGTGTGTTGGTGTGCTCAGCTGTCAATGTTATTCTTCGCTGAATTTCGTGATAATTCCCCAATTTGTATTGTACAACAAACATAAATATCTGGCAAGTACCACCATAGGCATACTTCTTAAGTTTGGGCAAATATTTGTTTATTCTTACTGTCGATTTCTACATGCTTTTTGTAACACCAGCTAATTTTCTTTGCAGAATGCGAGGCCACCGCTACCTGCTTCGTGCCCTGTGGCCATGAGCCATCTGATATCTCAGTGCTGGGCGACAAACCCGGAAAGAAGACCTCAGTTTGACGATATCGTCACGGTCCTCGAGGGCTACAAGGAAGCGCTTGACAACGACCCGTCATTCTTCCTGTCATACATACCGCCTCCGCCGCAACACCACCCGCAGCACCAGCAGAGCCTTCTCCGGTGCTTCCCTCGGGTGAAATCAGTGCGACGGTCCGCTTCTCTCAAGGCATGATGTCTGCGGGCGGTGCTCCTCCTTCATCCTCGCCATGTATAATATGCACCTTTCTCTGAGTTTCTTCCTCTCTATGTGCCGGCCCTCTATTATTGCGGCATCTAGGCTTGCTCCAATTTCGTTTTTCCTTTCTTCTTGGTTATTATGATTGCCATCATTGATGATGCCGTCGAAGCCGCCGTGCGTTTCTATCTAGATATGACAAAGCAGTTCTCCCTGCAGATTATCTATCGGCTGCCGTCTACTTGTGACCGAGTGATGGAACCATGAACTAGCTAGCTTTTGTAATTGTAATTATAACTGAGCTCTTCATGAATCGTGTTCCTACTCTTTTATCTGCTTCAGCAAGAATTACCATTATCTTAGCCTTACATAACTGAGCTTCTCCGAAGGGATTGCCATTTTGTCGCACTACATGTAAAACTCCTGGGCATGAACTTTCTACCATGCTGCATCAAGAATACACAATGTTGTACAGATAGAAGGCAAAATTCCTGTCACATGAACTGGCTTTCATACTGTAAAATTCAAGGGAGAAGGGCATAATAGCATATTCAGTTTGATTTGCCTAGCGCCGACTTGTTGGATATTTGAGATCTTGGGAACAAATTGAAAAGAGACAGTCCCATAGAAGAGTAAAATGCGAGCAAACCCATAGAAGCAATCATCAACCTCAAACCTCCAGAAACAATTTGGTAGGTCCAGAAGCTCGCGTGCTGCGTGGCAAGCCTTAGCCGGTTCATATCCAGGCTCAGGAGAAAGGCCCCGCCGCTTTATCGAGTCCTGTGCAAGAACGAGTTCTACTGGAGCGGATAAGGTGAGGGCCGTGTTCGAAGACCTCAAGCGCCTCCTACAATCCAACCCATTGCTCGCCTCCCCCACATAATCCGAGCCGCTGTTACTATACATATCCACTACCACGCAAGTGGTAAGCGTGGTTACAACGGTGGAAAGGGAAGAGTGGGGAACAACATCCCTAGTTTCATCTTTATGTTCTCTGTATCATGTGATAAATAATTTGTATAATTAACAATTTGTGTGATGAACTATGTAATAATTTGATGTTTTGGATTGATAAATTTAATGTTATGTTTGTAGTATTTGTATTGTTTTGTTCTGTAATTATTTGAGATGAGTTTGATATGAATATGTTCGTTAAATATATATGCAATTGTCGTGCCTAATATAGGGCAGCTCTTGGAGCAGTTTTGTGCCCTATTTTAGGGCTGTTGTTGGAGCAAAAAGAATTCAAGTGAGGCAAAACCAACTTCTTGGTGTGCAGTAACTATTTTTTGCTGTTCTATTATAGGGATGTTGTTAAAGATGCTCTAAGGGACAGAGACTTGGAAGTGCTTTGATGTATCTTTTAGTTTCATCGCGTTTTGTGTCACTGCCACGTGAAAGACTCAAGTGAACGATTCATAAATCTTTTACAATTCAGTAAATGGCACAAATTAACAATAATTTCATGGATAAGATGCCCACCCCCCAGTAGATAAATGGTTTCGGTGCTAATCTACCCAATTTCTCTTTCAAAATTTACTTATATTTCCATAGAGTTCCTTTTTTATAACTTGAAAACATATTGCAATAAAGAACCACTGAAAAAAATCACATGTGCATGATAATCTTCAATTCAGTTCAGCCTCCCGCCGTTGTCTTCCTCCTCCTCAAGCTTCTTGGATGTGTACAGCTTATATAAGTAACAATATACCAATTGTAACCCAAAGGAATTCATCACACGTACATAAATAATAAGTGTTTCACCTACATGAATATTGATTTCCCCTTTATATATACCCTTTTCTTTGAAGACTAGTAGATGGTATGTTGTGTGCCTTCACTTTGTTTTAACTCATTGGTAGCACTAGCTTAGTCCATCAAGTAGGCAACAACTACACAAACAACAAGGTATACATGAGAGAAGACAAAGAGTCAAATGGACACATAACTGGGAATAGGAGGCATCAGTAACCGTGTTGGAGTGACTATCTTATATGTGACGAGACTGAAACCACTGTCATGCCGTGTCTTCATGTCGAATCATGGGAGCTGCCAAAACTGCATGGAAGAAATGCAAAAAATGATAAGCATTATAAATGCAAAAAATGATCAAAAAATGATATTGTGCACGGGAATGCTACGCAAGTAGAAATGACTTTCTTGTTGCTAGAGACAGCTACCTAACATGGCTTTGATGTAAGTTTGAGTTTCACCACAATCGGCGTTGCTACCGTTCGAGGAAATCAAGTGAGGAATGTTCATATACTTCATACAATCTAGTTAATGGAGCAATTCAGTAACAATATTCCCAATTGCGGAGACGCACCAAAAGAAAATCCGCTACAGAGCATATGAATTTTATTAATTGCTACTCTAACCAATTTCCCTTTGAATAGTTATTTATACCCATATGAAAAAAAAGCACCTATGAAGATAAAAGACATGTGAATAATAATATTCAGTTCAGCTGCCCAACGTCGTCTTCTCCTACACCTTGCAATAGTTCATACCCATCGTAACTCAAAGGAATTCATCAGACATAGATAATAATAAGTGCTTTACCTACACGAGTATTGGTTCCCCCTATATATGTACCCCTTTCTTTGAACAAGAGTAGATAGCATGTTGTGTTGTTTCACTTTCTTATAATTGGTCAGTAGCACTAGCGTAGTCTATCAAATAGGCGATGACCACCCAAACAAACAGAGGATGAATGAGAAAAATAAAGTCAAATGGGCACACAACAGGGAATTGGAGGTGTTGGTAATTGTTTTGAAACATCGATTCTAGCAAGTGGATTGAAATGACCGTCACCCCGAGCGAGCGAGCGGCTGAAATTGCATCGATCGAATGCTCAAAATTGAAAGAACGACTTCCGTGTTTTTCTAACACTTCATAGCGCGCAAGTGCTCATATATACACGAATACACTCATCCATATGAACGCACACACGCACACCATACCCCATATGAGCACCGTAGAGAGTCTGAGCCAGCATTGTCATCTTGAGATTTTACGAAGCCACCGTAGGCACCTCATAGTCGACAGGACGTCTCTTCCCAGTGAACGCATATCGCAGGAAATCATGAAATAAATTCTGGATATATGCGAGCATCGGGACAGCTACCTAAGACCTTTGCCAAATTATACCCACTTTCGTATGTACACGTCGTACAGATACCTTCTGTATGAGGCTCTCTGCTTTTGTTCTCGCGTGCCTGGCCGGACCATTTAGTCAAGTCCGTCAGTTTTATGTAGAAAAAATACTGCAAAAAAGGAGATCATGAGGACTCAAACTCAAGTCTTCGCACAAGTGCCTTTGATTTCATATAGCATGAATTATATAAGAACAAACAACAATGTTCATATGTAGAAAACATTTCTGAAAAAACCCAAAACTTTTCTTGAAAAAAATGTGAACAATTTAGAAATGCTGAATACTTTAAGGAAATATCTAATAATTTATGAAGATCCATTTTTTTGAAACATTTTAACTATTATCGAAACTCAAAACATATTTACAAAAAAATTGGAAATTGTTTGGGATTCCGAACATTTTTCAAAAATATAAACAATGACTGTAACATTGAATAGTTTATCAAAAATGAGATTTTTTTTTGAAAATTCCAAACATTTTTAGAAAACATGAAAAAGATTTTTTTTAAACAAGGACAGGTTTTGAAAACATGAGACCATTTTTAGAAACCCCGAGCAACATTTGGAAAAGGAAAAGAATGGATCTGTGAAGAATTTTTTAAAGCGGTAACATTTTTTTAAATCCTGATTTTTTTATAATTTGTTAAAAATATAAACAAGAATACTTTTTAACTTTTGATATTTTTTAAAAAGCCCAATTGTTTTTACATTCTCGCTATTTTTTTTGAAATCACATTTTTTAAAATACCACATTTTTTGAATTTTCATTTTTTATAACATGAACTATTTTTGAATTAGATTTTTTCCAAAACATGAACATTTTTTAAGAAATGCAAACAATTACTCATATTTCCAACAGGTGCGTGATGGGCGCGATGCTAGGCGTAGTTGGGCGAAGGCCTAACCGTTTTTTTCTATATTTTTGTTATTCTTTTCATTTTTTACTTCATGCTTCTTCTTTTTGAACTTTATATATCTCTTAGGAACCAGTTCAAAATTGGAAATATTGTTCGGAAACCAAAATAACAGTTTAAGGAAGTGTTTCAAATTATTTTTTGTCAAATATTTATTAAATGTTTTTTAAGAAAATCATTTACTATTTTCAAATTTATCCCTTTGTATTTATTAGTTGTGTTAAAAACTTAGAATAAAAGTTTTCAATGCCTATTTAAATTATGATTTTGAATACGTTTTCCCTTCAAATCTGGAATGGATGCATACCAGGGGCATTTCCACCTGCTTGCAAAAGTTGATGTCATTTCAGGAATATCCAAATCTAGATCATGAACAAATAATTTAAAAAACATGAACATTTTTCGAAATTCCTAAATATTTAGAAAATTTTAAGTATTATTTGAAACAACAGGAATATTTTCCAGTATTCTAGACAACATTCTGAATTTTGAATAGATTTCAAAAAAACTAATAAATTTAAAAAAAATAGAAAAATGATTTAACAAAAGAAGAAAAGAAAAACGAAAAAGACAAAAAAAAATGCTTAGCTAAGATCCTTTCATGGCAGGATCGCTAGACTCTGTGCCATGGGCACCATGGGCACCATGGCTGGTTCAGCTAATGGCGAGAATGGTTAAGGGGCCGAAGCACATTGATCTTGGAATGTCACTGTTTTTTAGCAGCAATTCATATGATCTTGGAATGTCAGTGTGAAGGGGCCAGTGTCACGGTGTTACATCATAAATTCACTGTTCACCATCTCCATTGTTGCCTCTCCGATGATGCATGAGTAGTTCTTTGTAGACCTTCGGGTCCGTAGTTAGTAGATTGATGGCTTTCTCTCTCTCGCTGAATTCTCAATATAATGGTCTTTTGGAGATCCATAT